AGCATCGCACCGGTATCACGGAGGTCATGGGTTCGAATCCCATTGAAGCCCTGATTTTTTCAGGCTTCTTCTTTCCAATTGCTTAAATTGGAAAATAAATGGCGATGATCATTCTTCACTTTCAGTTCATTGGTAAAGGAGGCCAAATCGTCCAGTCTCGACTTCTTTAGCACTGAATCTGTAGTATTGTTACAGTATTCTAGAAACTTCCCAGCTATGGTTATTCTCAGAGGATCGGCAAGTTCGTCTTGCACATCCTGAATTGTGAATGCCAAATTCGTAGCTGTCTTACATCTTTTTCTGCATAGATTTGCAATCATTGACTTCCTTTTATGATCAAATGAACTAAAGGTCTCAACCCTGGGATTTGGGTTCACAATAACGACTTTCACTTCGGTAGCGCTGCTTTTGAGTAATTCCTCCACATTCATGTGTGAGAAAGCTATTTCGCTAGGTGTGATTTCCTCTGGCGTGATTGAAGGGATGTTGTTCGCAGTCAGGCTTGGTGGAGGTATGTCACTGAATTTGAGTGATTTCTTTGATGCTGAGCTTTCTCTGGATGTTTTTCTCCTTTCCTTGTTTGAGGACTTCAATCTAGCAACGAAATGGTCATTGGCAATAGACGCTTCCATCTCCTTGAATCACTAGAAACCTTGATCGCGGCTTGCTTCCTTTTCTGCAGGCTCAAGTAGATGAAGTTATAAAGTTCAGAAGTGTTTCCCATTTTATGTGCACAGGCATGGTACACACAATTGGATGAAGTGTCTTACCTTTCTATCTGTAAACCAATTTTTGAGCTGATTTCAGACAAAGTGCCATTTTGGAATCCATCAAGTTAAAAGACATTCAAAAGATTTCGTGAGGAAATGTAAGAGGTCTTCTTCAATTCTCCATATTTGATCTTAAGCGGAACAACAACAAAGTCGACAATTATCATTAACATTTCCATCAATTCCTCCCTTGATAGGCTTTTTCGGTGTATCGCCCTTTGCTGCTATTGATATCAGGCAAACACTGCATTGGATAGTATTGTTTTGATGCTAACAGTGGCTTTTCCCTGCGAATCCATTCTGTGCCAAATTGGAAGTTTCACATTACGATCTACACTCTGATTGGCTGGGATAATACGATCCACAAAACATATCATCAGGTTGTCAAAAATGTAATAGAGGGTGGCAATAAATAATGTAGGTAATCTAGGCAGGCTGTTCCTTGCGGCTTCACCGCTTCGTGCACGTGCTAAAATTCAAATTGCTTAAACAACCGCCAGGCTACGCAGGCTACATAAACATACTATGTGCCAATTACTCCTGAGAGGCATCAACTTCCCAAAATTGATGAGGTTTGGGGGATATTGAAGAAGGCAGTGTGCTCAGCAAATTAGATCTGAAGTGGGGTTACCATCAAATTGAGCTTGGTGAAGAGTCACATGGCAGAGCAACCTATATAACACACAAGGATACGTTTAGATGCAAGTGGTTGATGTTTGGCATCACATCTCTGCCAGGCAAATGTCAACAAATGTTGCAAGATAGTAGTGAAACAGCAAATATTTCAGAAGACATCGCCATTCATGGTCCTAGTGCAGCTGAGCATGACAAATGACTCCAGAAAGTGTTGACAAGGTTGAAAGACAGGGGTCGTATCCTTAATATTGAGAAATGTTTACAATTGTCATATGCTGAAGCTCACTTTTACAGGCCTAGTACTGTCAGGTCAAAGCATTGGTCAAACTGAAGAAAAAGTCAAACAAATCAATGGGGCTGGTGAATCGCAATGTGTCAAAAAATTGAAACTTTCCTTGGCCTGGTGAACATCAATACAAAATTCATTTCAGTGGTAGACCCACTTAGGAGATTGTAAAGAAAAGCAAGCCTTTCATCTTTGGTCTAGAACAACGGACAGCCTTTACAGGACTGAAATGGAGGTTAACTCAGGAAGAGGCTTTGGGTCATTTTGGTCCCAATGTGAAGACAAATATTATTGTTGATGCAAGTCCAATGGGTCTGGGGACAGCCCTTCTATAAGATCACAATGGAGAGAACAGCGTAATTAGTCATGCCAAAAGGGGACTTTCTGATGTAAAATGACTGTATTTGAAAAAGTAGAAAGAACTGAACACTGGGTTCCATGGTTGAAGACTTGTGTATTTTCAGCGAAATATTTGCCTATGCATCTAAACATTACAGATACACTGTGACACCTTGCAAAGATTGAGGAAACAGAGAAAAGGAATATATAAAGAGTATATCAGAAGAGTATATCAGATTCGTAGCAAACACCTCTGTGCCACAGGCAATGGCTGCTAAAGAAATTGAAAGAGAGTTTGTGGTTCTTGATGATTTAGAAACCCTACAAGAGTGCATCAGGACTGGAAGTTGGAACAATTCCAACCTGCCAGATTACAAGCAAATCCAAGATGAGCTTTATTTTTTGGAAATATCGTCCTGTGAAGAACAAGAATAAACCCTGTGTTACCAAGGAAACTTAGAGGAAGAGTGATTCAAATAAGCCATGAAGGACATCAAGGGATGGTGAAAAAGAAATGACTAAGAGCAAAGGTTTTGTGGCCTGCTGTTGATAAGGATGAATTTGGGAAAGGCAGGTCACAGGTGCCAAGTTGTGGGTGAATTATGTAATCCTGAACCTCTTCACATGACTGTGCTGCCTCAAGGGCCCTGAAAGGACATTGTGGTTGATTTAGTGGGCTCATTGCCATCAGGAGACTGTTTTCTCTGTGACTGACTACTACAGCAGATATGTAGAAATCTTGTTTTACAAGAAGAAACAGAGCAGAGGTGGCCATCAACAACTCATGGATTGCCACATAAACTGACAATGAACATGATCCCCATTTTGTGGCAGACACTATTGAAATGTTGTTCTCATACTCACTAATAATTCATCATCACGTCAAGGTGGCTTACTACAGTTTTGATGGATTATAACAGCCCAACGTCTAACTCTTTTGAAAAATGTTCCAAGATGTTTTTCCTTTCTCTATTTACTGTTTACTTAGGTCTAATACCATTCTATGTGAAACTTGAACAATTAAATGTCAACAAATGGCCAAAATGAACAACTGAGTACCTAAGGAGAGACTGGGCACTAGTAGGTTAAATCACTTTTTTTCTCAAAATCTACCTGTATGACCCCACCTCACAATTTCACGAATAAGAAATTGGCTCTGATTTAACATTCATGCAAAGCAAAATAAAAATCTGTAAGACAGATTTTTCGCAAACTAAGAAAATATGAAATCAAAAATAGCTCAAAAATGGATCAATATTTGTTGTGGTCTCTTGACCAATATAGCAGAAAGAAAAATTTTGCATTGACTTAATTTGTTACTTCCTTTCAGCAATCACTTCTTAATCTGTTGATTCCTCTGCAAAAAACACCTCCAATTTCCTTAAATTTTTCTGGTGAGGAATTTTTCCTTCCTTCAACCATTGCAAAAACATGACGATTGGTGCCCTTCATCTTAAGTGAAAATTGTTATTGAACTTCCTGTCATGTTTCTTTCATTTGGTTACCTTTATTTGTGTATTTAATAGGTGTTAAAAGTGAACAGCATTTTAGATCATGAAACTTGCATGCTGAATTTCTGCAATTTAATTTACGGTGACCTCAGTGGGTTTGTTTAGTTTGTTCACTTTGTTGTAATATACTTTTTTGGAGTCTTATTCAGCCACTACACAACTGCCAAGAAAATATTTAAGTCGCCACTATTTTAACAGTTGAAATACGATTGATCTCAAAATAATTAGCTTGTTTTTGTCATCTTTTTGATTTACAAGTTTTATCTCTTTTTTTGCTGCACCATATTATTTTTTTGCCCGGCAAAGAAATTATTTGATTTCTTGTTTTAAAATTTGTTTTTACACATGTCTTTTGCTTTTATTTTCAGTTGTTTCCTCAAATGTTAGCCGTTATAGTACAAGAACAAAAATTCCATTGTAATTAACTCATTTTTGCATATTCAATTTTCTTGGCTTCCATCTGAAATAATATAATTTCTTTTTTCTTATCAGTTTTAATTTACACATCAGGTTGATTTCTTTTTGATGACATTTTTTAATACTTTGGACCTTCATTTATTCAACTTTAAATAAACAATGTCTTGAAACCTGATCTTGTGTCTGTGGTTACTGGGCATATGGTTTATTTTTGAGGTTATGCTTGCTCTGAAATATTACAAAAAGTTCAGGAATTAGGGGTAGGTCATGTGTAATTTTATGCAGGTATCAATGGGTTAAACAGATTACTAGTTATCCTCACATTTTCCCTGGGAAATTGTAATTGCTAGCATTACATTTATTTGCTCTACTTTACTCCCTTCTCTGATCTGTGTCGAAGTGGAATGATAGAAAACTAAGGGTGTATTCCTTTGGGAGAGTCCTAGCCTCCAAAGTGAGCATTTCAGTGAATTTAGAGTTAATATCCACATTTTGCTTACCCGAAAACTGGTGCAAGAGGGAAAACTTGCTAGAAAACCCAATATTTATGAAAACCTATTTGCTTAAGATTTCTGACCATGGGAAGAAATTGGTCTGTATTTCAAATAAAACACATTAACTTTAGACCATACCACTACTTTTCTCGTGGCTGAATATTTCCTTGATCAGTGTTAGACCATTCAAAGCTGAACTACGACGAGCAAATGATGCACCAGGGAACAATGCATCAAACTGGCAAGCACAAAACCAAAGAAGAAATTCCTGAAAGAAAGATAATTAATGTCACAGAAGAAAAGCAGATGACAATAATATTTCAAACCCTTCCTTATATGACTAAAGAATCATAACTTTCTCCCAACTCAAAAATGGTACTTAGGGATACTATTCTGAGAGCACATGTTATTCCATGGGAATTTTGTGAAGCAAGCAAGCCACTAGCCTAATAATGCAAAGAAGTTTGGTGGTACTTTTGTAATTTTCACAGAAGTGATTTATCAGGGGCTTTAAAAATGACGTAAATTTTCCAGCATAGAAATGAGGCTACATAAGTTCATTGCTCATATAATAATAACAATAAAAATAAATTTGAATTTGTTGTGCGCAAATTCCATACGTATGTGTTCAAATGTGCATTGCAATTAAATTACATAAAAAAAGAACGTTACATGCTAAAAGTGAAAATTACAGCTTAAAAACTAAAATTCTAAAAAACTAAGTTATAGGTTAAAAATTACAAGCGTTAAAGTACAATTTATACCTAACTAAAATCTAAAATTCAACCACGTGAATGAAATCACGTCAAACTCACTATGATGATATATATTGATGCTTTAGACACTTTGTGCTCTCTTTGTGGTAAGAGGGGTCATGTGATGAGTTACGGTACAAATGAGGCTACAATGGTTAACTGTTCATGTATATTAACCATGTGAATGAAATCATGTCAAAATATCTTCAATGATGTTCTTAATGTTCTAAATACAAGTTAGCATTATCTTGTGATAAGGGGGTCACATGAGTAAGTTACCATTGAAACAAGGCCAAGATCTAGACATGGTTTATTAACTTGAAAACACTTGAGTAACTGCAGACAAAATTTTACCGATGTGATGTTATCACTTTGCCAGTTAACAACACAGGTACTGTAACAAATTATTCATGGCAATGATGCTGACTTAGTAATTTCCTGAAAAGAATTTTCCTGTCAAAATAATCCTACATAGAATTCAAAAACTGTTTTTGGATAAATTAATCACCTTGGTGAAAGTTACGAAAGTGCCACTAAACTTTTTTGCATTATTTACAGTCCAGTTAAGATATCTTGGGAGGTGTGGTGGCCTCGTAGTTAGTCAGCTTGTCTCTGGATCGAGCAGTCCACGTTTGAGCCCTGGCCAGGGACATTGTGTTGAAGACACTACGCTCGCAGTGCCTCTCTCCACCCAGGTGTATAAATGGGTAACAGTGAACTTAATGCTGGGGGTAACCTGCAATGGACTAATATCCCATCCGGGGGGAGTAGAAATACTCCTAGTTGCTTCATGCTACAGAAAACCAGGATAAGCTCCCACCTGATGGGCCCCTTGGCTCGTATGCAGATTTTACCTACCTTTACCTATCTACCTTTATCTATCTACCTTTATCTAGACAAGGGGGAGAATGTCACATGTTTGTGCTCTGGTTCAAACCATGCCATACAGCATGTCTGTGTTGTTTACAGTAAAATTCTAATAACAACCTTTGGGCATATTTGTTCAAAACGCATTTGATGGGCTTATTTTCAAATGCCTGGGGACATTTATCACAGGTGCCTGTTACCATAAAGAAGTTTTTTCACCTTCTCTATCTTGGTAAGACTTTTCTGGCTAAAACATTTTTGGTACAAACATGAATATCACATGGTAAGACTCTTACAATAACTGTTCAATCATTTGCACGCTTGTTGACTAATTATCTTCTTCAATAAGAGCAGAGATACCCAGCACATATATAAATAGCTTTATCGTGGATGAATCTTCAAAATTGTGCCACCAAACTGTTTACAGTCTTGCTAGTTCTCAATAGTAAGCAATAACTTGCATCTAATCAGGACTTTGTCAATGCAAAAGTAACAAAATCATCTAAGAAAACTTTAAATTCAGACAACTGTTTAGACTGTCAAGCAAAAAAAACTTATAATAATTTGATGTGGAACTCAATGAAAATAGTGTACTTCATTTGTCCCAAGTTTGAAGCAATTACACAATTGGACTGGAGTGGATAACAATTCAGTGGGTTTTACAACTTACTTATAGAAATTCTGCTTGCACATTATGTTTTTGGTTATGAATAATAATAATAGTAATAATAATAATAATAATGATGTCTATTCATTCAATACAGTATATATCCCATGTTACATAAATTTCAAAAACGATTACATAAGGCACTTCAGAAAGAAATTCTCATATTGCTACAATGTATTTAAAACTAAGCCTATTAAAAATATGTCTGTAACGCGATCTTGTGGGCTTATGCTTAGTTTTATTCCAATCGGTTGGAGATTTTTGTCTTGAAATGGAGGTATCTGGGAGTTGAATTGCTACAATTGAGAAGGCAATCACTGGAAAGATAGAGGTGTAGAAAGAGGTGAATTATGTAACATATTTTTTGTATTTCTGGTATCAACATAGACAAGTTCTTACAGCTTTCAAGTGGGAAATTGATTCCAGAATACTCTTTACTTGGTTGTGTCCACTTATGCAACACATCCCACATATTTTTAGCTACTCCAACTTTAGATGTGAATATCTAGACAACCAATCAATATCAAAAAAGCCTGACACACGTTTGTTGATTGATGCCTCATAGATAACACTGTAGAGCCATTTTGCTCATGTTGCAGCATCCGATGATCGATAAATTCAATAGAACCCTTGTTCGTTTCACGCCTTACAGGCTCCTGAAGTTCCTAAAATAAAACCTCCCTTAAATTGTATTTTTATCCTATACTTTGTTTGTTACGCATTCTCCTGATATATACTTTATTAGAGTTGTATTGAAACTGGTGCATGCAGGAAATTTTTCCTGAAGGACACCCCTAAAGGTGGAAAGTAATCTTAACCACAGGGTACCCGAACACTGTATCAACAATAACCTAATCATTTACATTCACGTAAAACAAATGTACTGTTATTTATGTGTGTTCCTGGGCCTTTCTGAACTGTTTCGAACGGATTTGACTAACAGCGAAGATAGCCTGCGCAGCAAGCGTTCCTCTTCAAGAAGCTTTTCCCCATTCTGGCCACACGCAAAGTGGAGTGAGAGCAAAAAATTGACAAAGCACGGGGTGGTGGGGCGACTGAGAGAATGCTTCCCCATAGCCTGCATAACTGGCGGTTTAGTTGGCTGGGTATCGGACAGTATAGAGTGTGATCCACAAAAATAAGTGGTGACACCGCGAGTGGCCTGGAGGAGATGAAATTCTCACATTAGGCCCCTTACGGCATTGCCACTCTCACTGCTTGTTTACATGCTCTATGTTGACTAAACCACCAGCTACGCAGGTTAGCTTGTGCAAACTCCTCGATTTTCAAAAAACCTGTTTGCCCACGAATGGAGCACCAAATGTGTGCGTCATGGTCACCTTGATGGACAACTGTGTCAAATTTGCTTGAATTATTCAAGGAATAACTCGAGTGTGACTTGCACAATGCAGTGGAGCAACGTTTGTGAAATTGTGGCAGCCCCAGCGAAGATATACTTAAGGGCCCATTAACTGCTCTTTTTAAGCTGTTGCTAAGAAAAATTTATTCTCTCATAACCTTGTCATTTTTACTTGGTTTAGAGTTATTTCATGTGTTTTAACTTTTCAATCATCAGTAACACCAGTGATTAAATGTCATCAGGCCACGCCCATGGTATGTGACTCAATCTGGAAAATTATAAAGGCACCCAAGCATAGAACTTTATTAGGATTTTTCCCCTTGATTTATTATCTTAAATTTAATCTCTATTACACTATGCATAGATTTTGTTTCATTTCTAAACAGTCAGATTTTCTGAGGATTTGAAAATATTAAAAATTTGTAATTTACAGGAAAAAGTATGATTTTGCAAAAGGAATGCATAGCTATGTTTTCAAGGTTGGCTTAAATCGTAACTCATTGAAAAAAGCTGGATTTAATGGAAAACCCCATTTCCTTTAGCATTTAAAGAAACTGGAAATGCCCACAATATCTGTTGTAAGTTACCCTATCAGCATGTGTGCAGTTTACACTACCAGCCGCACAATAAGATCAAATGAAGCACACAAAAGCCATACAGAGATGGTTTTTCTTTTTCTTTTGCGGTTGTTTCTCTGTTTTTCTTTTAGTTTGTTTTCGCTTTTACAGTCGAACCTCGATTATCTGGACTCATTGGGACTAGATGAATTAGTCTGGATAATTGAGGTTCTGGATAATCAAAAATATGAATATTAATGAAGAACAAAACTGTTTAAATAAAGCAACATTTAATCGTGAAACAACACTTTTACAAATCATTTGTAAAACAATATGGTCTACTGTACATCTTGAACCACCCAACTCTGAGCCAATCAGAACTCATCTGAGTGTTTTTCATTAGTTATGACGTGTGCGAGCACTGCTTTTGCTCTTTAAAAGCAAAACAAACTTGCCTTTGACTGCACTTTTCAATGCTATAGTTTTAAAAACAATGTTGCTATGGATCTTGATCGTGACTAATAAATATTCATGACAAAATTGGGACTAGAGAAAAAATGCGGATAATCAAGAAATCCTGATAATTGAGGTACGGATAATCGAGGTTCGACTGTACTTTGTTTTGTGAAACACAAAGAAAAAACATCTAAAATGTAACCAAATTTGAAAGTTTTTGAATTGTTTAAATTTTCCATGCTCAGGCTGACGCAAGTAAAATTTCACCTTAGCAACGTGCATAAGTGCACGTATGAATCGGTTAATGGGCCCTCAAGGTGAATGGTATTTGATTTCACTCAGATGACACCATCTTTAGAGGGTAAAGATTTGGTGGCTATATTACCCACTGGATTTGGTGAAAGATTGCATCTTTAGTGCTGTTTTAATTAATCAATCATGCGCAAAGATCAAACAGCAACCAGGGAAGGAGAACCAATCTTTGAAAGTCTTATTTGGCAACCTCGCTCAACTGAGTCGTTCTTGTGCCCAGATAATATGAGACTGAATTTTAGAAGCCAGTGACTGGTCGTTTTCCCCGCAAAAGCAAATTTACACCCGTGCTGA